TTATCTCCCCCTCTTCATTGAAAACTCGGATTTCCGGAACTTTGTCAGCCGAATTATTTAAGTCTAATCGCTTGTTGGTTAAAATTTTGGCATTTTGCAAATCGTCTCCATTAAAATGATACTTCTTCCCAATTTGTAAATTAGCCTTATACTCAGCCATTTTGGCATTGTCATTTCCAAAATTGATTTCTAGATAGCTAATAGTAGGAGAAAAACCAGAAGTAGTTATCTTTCTTTCCTTAATTCTCAGAATGAGATATCTGTTTTCTCCTTTTTTTGTTTCTTCCATTCATTCTAACTCAAAAAAATCGAGATAGATACCTCGCCACGTATCTACTCAATGGTCCCCATCAATGACTAGAGTTGACCCATTTATTTCGGCTTTGGCTACTGGTTCGGCAAAGTTAATACTTACCTCACCGCTCGACCAAGAATCAGTTTGAGTTGTGTTTGGAGCAAATTGTTGGTATTTTTGATAATTTTTCCCCATGGATCTTTCATTATTATATCTCACTCCATCATTTTTTATTTCTATTCGGTTAATTTTTCCTTCTTTTCCGTTTCATTCAAAATGAAAAGGTAAAACATTGAAAGAAAAATTATCGTTAATTGCTACTATGTCTTGTTTTTTTGAACTTATGTAAGTTATAATTCCTTTATATGTCATAATATTTTTATTAACTTATCTTTTATTATTATATACTTATTATTTTAATAAAATCTTTTTCTTGGGCTTGCTGGTTGTGCTTGCTTTCGGGATAGATAAATAACCTTTTTATTTGTTTATTCCCTAATTTAGTATGGGGCATCATACCTTTTATAATTCGCATAACTAGTTCTTGCGGGTATTTTTCCAGCATTAAACGAGTGCTTCTTTTCCGTAGCCCACCAGGATATCCAGAATGATTATAATAGAACTCATTATTTAATTTATTATTACCCGTAAAAGTAATGTATTTAGCATTTACCAAAACCACATAATCTCCTAAATCCAAGTTAGGTAGAAAATTGTTTTTATTTTTTCCCCGTAATATTTCTACTATTTTGGGAGCCATTCTCCCCACTATTTTGTCTTTTAAATCCAAAAAATATCAGGAGCGAGTGGTGGTCAACAGGGAAGGAATAGTAGTTTTTTGTAATTGTTCGTTTTCTTTTTGAGTAACAACCTCCATATATTATTTTTTATTATTTTTTTTCTTTTTATGAGTCAAGAAGTAAACAAATATTCCTCCTAAGACAAAGGCACCAACGGCTAAACTAATAAAAATTGCGGTATTATTTTTGCTAGGAGCGGAAGAATTGTTAGGGTTATCACTTTGTAATTCAGAGAGAGAAAGGGATTGGTTAGGTAAGTTTTGAATAAGTTGGTGGTATTTTGTTAATTCTTGGTCCTCATTTTCAATGACCTTTTTATTATTGTTTTTATATTCAATTACTAATTTGCCATTTTCTAAACTAATTTTAGAGATATTTTTAGCAAGAAAATAGGAAAGGAGTTGGGATTTTTCACTATCGCCAATTTGGTTATTTTTCTTGTTTGCTGCCTTTCCTGTTCCGCCGGTTTTTGGCGAAATTGGAACTGGGGAATTCTGCTCCTGTGTTGGGACAATTGGTGTTTTTTTTGATAAACCATACCCGCATTTATCAGAACAAATTTTAATATTTTTATTTTCATCTAATTCCGCTCTAATTTCGTTAGCAAGGGCTCGTGCAAGGAGAAATTTTTCGTTCTCCTTATTGCCGGAATATTCCATTCGCTGAGCCTTTTCTTTTCAATAATTCGCTTGTTCCTCCATTCTCTCTTGCAAACTTTCCCAATAACCTCTGCAAAGTCTTTCACGATGTGGCCATTGCTCTTGAAATCTCTCTTTTAAACTTCGGTAATAATTTTCTTTTTCAACTTGAGTTAGTGGTTGGTTAGAAGTCATTGTGTAAAGATTCCAATCAGTTTCTAGCATTTCCCTTCCGCTAAAATATTTTCCTCTACCTTTTAAGTTTTTTGTTTCTTTTTTGTCAAACTCCTCTTTGGTAATTCCAATTTTAATTTCTCGACCACCATTATCTTTTTTTTCACCAACATAGAGATACACATTTCCGTCTTGACCGTCAACTATTTCCACTCAGTCGGAAAAACTACGGTTAGTCGAGTTATAAATTTTGGCTTCATTTTCGCGGAAATAATTTTCTATTATGCGTTCTAAATGATGAAACTTCTCGGCTACTAGGTATCTGTATAATCTATACTCTCCGCCACCCTCTTTTATCAGTTTATAAGTGCTGGTACTTTTCCCTTCTTCGCCATAATTAAAAAGAGCGAATTTGTATTCGGGGAAAATATTAATTACTTCATTTCTATAATCAAATTCCTCCGCAACGTTTTCTGCTTTTTTTCCTTCATTTATTGAACTAATATCTACTGCTTCGCTCCCATTACTAATTATTATCCCTCAATACAAGTATTCAGCCTCTTTTCTTCTGTTTGGCAATTGGATATATCTTTCTAGCAACTTCCATTCTCCACCTGAGTTTTTGTATTCCTTGACTTTGTTAATTAATTCTTGTCCGTTATTTACTTTTATTTTTTTAATTTCTAGGTTTTTATTCATAGTATTTTTATAACTTTATTATTGATATATTTAGCCAGAGAGAGAGAGAGAGACAATTTTATATCTCTTTCACCATCACTTACTTTCTGTCTCCTTAATTTATTTTATAAAGTTTTTAGTTTTGGTGTGAATATTTTGTCAAATAATTGTTATTATTTTGAACTTCTTTCTTATTCTTTAAAAAGGGTTTTTAATGGCTTTTTATAGAACAAGTGAGCGTTGACGGTCTGCGTTATGGCCGTTTCGAGTTTTTAATTCTTTCTTCTACTTCCCCCTTATTTAATAAATAAATAATGTGAGGTAATTCCGGTCCTTTTTCTTTTCCAGTCAACACATTTCTTACCAATAGATAAAACTCTTTTTTAGGTGCTTGACTGCTTAGACAAACTG